TTTTTTTTTTTTTGTATTTTGTAGTAGAGATGGAGTTTCACCACGTTGGCCAGTCTGGTCTCTAACTCCTGACCTCAAGTGATCCACCCGCCTCGGCCTCCCAAAGTGCTGGTATTACAGGCATGAGCCACCGTGCCCGGCCAGAAGTCATCTTTATTATGTAGCGGTCCCCTCCCCACCCCGGTACGAGATGGTTTGTGTGAGTATGAATGTGCGAGTCTACGAAAGCAGCTGACAGTCCCGTGAAATAAGGATGCCAATACAGAAGGTCCGAGGTAAATGGGAGCCCAGTGAAACTCCTATAGGCGTAACAAAGGGCGGGGTCTTGGGATGTCGGGAAAGAGGAAGGGAAGGCTGCGGGTCTGAGTGAGCTATGTGCACCTGAAGGTATGGGTGAGACTCTCCGCCGTGTGTGAGCCGGCTTGCATGCGTCTGGCATACAGGAGCGTTCAGTAAATGTTGAATAAATGAACCAATATCAACAAATTTTGGAAAGCTTCTTGTATGCCAAGCAACCTGCTAGCACTTTTCAAACGTTATCTTTAATCCTCAGAACCACCCTGCCAGACAGGTATTTTGGTCTCCATTTAACAGGCCAGGAAAGTTGAAGCTGGGAGAGGTGAGGTCCCCTTCCCTATTCAAACCTGGATCTTTGTGATTCCAGAAGTCGTCATTCACCGAAGGGACCAGATTCCTCACCCGTCAAGAATTTATTAAGCACATATTGCGCAGCGCAACGAACATAGTACACCAACCGCTCGTGATGGCATGGAACAGGTGGAGTACTCCCGGAAGACCAGCTGAGCGGCTGGACTGCGGATACCAAAAGGATAGGGTTTCTGGCCCGGACCTTCAGGGAATGTAGCTGCCTCTGCCTCATAGTTATGGCTTTGGCTGAGAGAGCACAGTTAGATCGAGGTTGCAGCGCGGTCTAGGGCGCAGATATTACGAATATTGGCCGAGAGAGGGCGCGGTTCCGCAGCTAAAAGCTTGGCCAGGAGACCCTCAGCGCACCGACCGGCTATCGAGGCGCAGGCGCAGAGGACCGAAGGAGCGGCTTAATATATTATGTTGCAGAGGGATAATTTGAGAAGAGAGGGCGTGGTTCCAAAAGCGACGCAAACATGGAGGTGTGGCTCAACCAAATTACCCCTCGCCTATTTGTCGCTGCCCTTGAGGGCGTGGACTGGGTGCTTCTTTTCGGAATGAGGGCGGGCCGAATCGCGTTTTTCCTCCGCGTTGGAGGCGTCGCTTAGGGCGGGCCGTCGAATCGTCGTTCAGCGATTGGCTGCTTCACTAATGGGTCGTGGCCAGACGGGCCGTCCATCCCCAGTGCGGTCACTTCCTGTGGAGTTTCCCCATCCCTGGGAGGAGGGAGGAGGGGGAAGAGGACGAGGGGGAGGAGGGCGGTCGTCCGGGGTTAGGTTGAGGGGGGGCGTCGGTCCTTTCTGGGCGGGGGATGACTCACAGCCCATCCCATCTCCCCGACGCCGCCCGCCCGCGCAGTGCTAGCTCCGTGGCTTAGCGGAGGAGGAGGCGGTGGAGAGCTGGGGGGAGGGGGACTCTTATTTTGTTAGGGGGACCGGGCCGAGGCCCGACCGGCCTGGCAGGGCTCGCCCGCGGCCGGGCGTCATGTCTCATGCGGCCGAGCCAGCTCGGGATGGCGTAGAGGCCAGCGCGGAGGGCCCTCGAGCCGTGTTCGTGCTGTTGGAGGAGCGCAGGCCGGCCGACTCGGCTCAGCTGCTCAGGTGCGGGGCCGGCAGGGGCCGGGAGTGCCGAATGGGGCTCCCGGGGGGCCTGATCTGGGGGGCAGCGGGGGCCCTGGACTGGGATTGGAGGCCCTCGGCCTAGGCTTGGAGGACGTCGGGGCGCCAGTCTTGTGGGGGCACCTAAGGAATCCGGCAGTGGCCTGCTTGGACTGTGGCTTAAAAGAGTCGTGGGAGTGCATTAAGCGGGGCCTGGGTCAGGTTTGGGGAACCCTTGACTGCGTCTAGAGGGGCCGATTCTGGAGTATCCAGAAACTGAACTTGGCGGACTGGGACTCTGATTAGAGTCTGAATTCGGGGGTTTTCAGTCAGACATGAAGGGAATGAATTTGAGGGGACACTGTCAGGTGAGGCACTGATTTTAAGGGAATCCTGGAATCTTCTTCCCTCAGTGTGGGAGAAGGGGTCCTGAGGGACAGAAGTGCTGTCTTGGGAGCTTGGTGCCTCTCAGTGGCTGGTTGCTGTGCTTGGTGATAACATGAATCTGGAGGGATTTGCAGGTATCTCAGATATGCTGTCTGGGACCAGCCTTGTGAGTGTGTGTGAATGAACAAGAGAAGCAACATTCAGCAAGACTTGACCAGAATAATATTTTCTCCCCTGCCCACCCACCCAGCTGGGGCAGATCCCAGGGATAGTGGAAAAGCCCTCTTCCCACACCTGATAAGGGCCTGAATGGGAGACAGCCAGTCAGACAGAGGGTGATGATGTTACCTCTTAGCTCAGACAAGGCCTCAGACCTTGTTTGGGAACCCAGAGGAGGCTCTTGTTCATGCTGCTACTTGCTCTAGCCTCTCAGCCCTTCCCAATTCCTAGTCCCACACCCCTCTTCTTTTTATTTTATGTTTTTTCTATCTCCGACCTCCTGGGGATAATCTTGAATCTGTCCATAGAGCTGGAATAAGTACAGATTGCACCATCCCTGCCTGGGTGGGTCCCCTCTGGCCTCTTCTCATCCTCACTTCCATCAACGGGCTTTGGAGCCCCAGCCCTCCCTGCTCATCCCAGCGCGCCCATCTCTTCCAACTTCTATGCAATGGGTGTGTGAGCTTGTCGGGGGCTGGGCGGGGGGCGGGGGGGGGTCTTTGCCTCCTTTGTGCCTGGGATTGTGCTGAGCTCAGTGGCTTCCCCGAGCTTCCTCTTCCCAACTTCCTGGGTGGTTTTAGGGTTCTATCTGAGGGTGAGGAGAGGAAGGAAGAGAGATCCTTGGGGAGGGGAGAGGATTCTTGTCAAGTGAAGTCACCAGCAATCTCTCAGGATTCTAAATCTTTGGCTAAATTGAAGGATGCGTATTCATCTACCACATGTGTGTTAAGTGTCCCTTGCTCTCTAGGGCTGAGCACAGCCCTTCTGTATATCGATTCACCATCTTCTAATTACTCTGTAACAACCTAGATCATCGCAGTAGTGGACATAGTTAAAAGGGAGGGGTGTATTTGGCTTATTTTGTGTGACAGTGCGTGTTGGTGTTGGGGGTGTGTGTGTGTTTTGATCTATCCAAAAAAACAGGAGAAGGCTGGGCAGGCTCCTCCGGCTAAGAAAAAAATGCTTGTATAAAGTGGATCAACCACCTAAATTCTCCCTCCTGTCTGTTGGAGCAAGGGGAGCCTTTGATATTTCTATTTTATATTTGGGCATGTGTTGGCATCCCGTGAACTCTGGCTGGGGCTGGGAGAAACTCATTTATGAAATGGTAGATCTTTACATTGAGTGAATTATTCCCAGTTCTCTTTGTGATGCATTCAGTTTGTGTTACAAGGGACTGTTATGCTGAGGGATGCCCCCACTTGCTGTGTGTGTGTGTATGTTTATGTTTACACATATACCTGGGCTCACATTCAGTTGTAAAGAAAACAGTAGGGGGTTGGCCAGGTGCAGTGGTTCACGCCTATAATCCCAGGGAGGCCAAGGCAGGCAGATCATGAGGTCAGGAGATCGAGACCATCCTGGCCAACAAGGTAAAATCCCGTCTCTACTAAAAATACAAAAATTAGCTGGGTGTGGTGATGTGTACCTGTAATCCCAGCTACTCAGGAGGCTAAGGCACAAGAATGGCTTAAACCCAGGAGGTGGTGGTTGCAGTGAGCCGAGATGGCACCACTGCACTCCAGCCTGGTGACAGAGAAAAAAAAATAGTAGGGAGTATAGAGGCTGGGAAAACTCTGAATAGGAAGTCAGGAATTCTTCCATAAAGTGAATTGTTACTCCTAAATTCTGTTTCCTTCAAACCCAGGTTCTACACTGTTGGGGTTGGGATGCAGGCGTTCTTATTATTCTGACTCTTAAGGGACTATGAGTAACACAGTGGGGAGGGGAAAGAGGAATGAGAGGGAAGGAGGTGGGAATTCATGGTGGTGTGGTACCCAGGAAGGTGGCCAAACATGAGGGGCTTGTGTTCTTCTGTTCTTTCTCCCCGTCTCTGTCTGTCTGTCTGTCTCTCTCTCTTTCTCTGTCTCAGGGGAGGGCAGGGGAATAAGATCCTTCATTCAATCACTAACCACCACCCCACCTCCCCCTCAGCCTGAACTCTTTGCTTCCGGAATCCGGGATTGTTGCTGACATAGAATTAGAAAACATCCTTGATCCTGACAGCTTCTACGAGCTCAAAAGCCAACCCTTACCCCTTCGCTCAAGGTATGTATGACTTGTCTATCTGAGTCCCCTCCCAATTCCTCCGCACTCCTCTCTCCTCTTGATGGGCAGAGGCCCTCAGTATCAGCCCAATCCAGTCTTTCACTAGCCTGTATTTTCCAGATGGTAAAATTAGGGGCCAGAAAGAGCATGATCACACAGGAAAGCAGGTTGCCAAGCTAGGATTCCAGTATCTCTGTCAAGACCTCCCCTGCCTCCCCACAACCCACCTGCACACCCATTGATGCACCAGGGTTTCAGCCTCAGGTGTTCCAGCTGGCCTGGAGTGCCCAGAGATAGGGCGTGGCCTGCTTAAACTCACGCCCCCAGGTGGGCGGGGCCATACCTCTAGCCCCAACTCAGCCCCTTCCCACACTACCCACTCACCCACCCTCAGCCTTTGAGGAGCCCCTGCTGGTCTCTTTCCCCAAGCTTGGAAGTCTAAATGTGCTGAGTCATCGGCCCGGGCTCTGAGAGAGGGGAGGGGACGTGGAAGAGGGGCAGGAAGAGAGGATTGTGAAATCTCTGAGATTTTCAAAACTGACTAGCTCCTGGGACCAAAGGCCCAAGCAGGGGAGGAAGAGGAACCTGGGGCTTCTCCTATGGCTTAGCGCCCACCCCCAGGAACTCAGAGAGCTTCTCCGGCCTCACATTGGGCTTAGGAGCCCTGTGTATCCACGTTCTGCTGCCACAGCCTCAATTCTGCTTCTTCTGCTCCTTTAAATAGGACAAACCCCCTCTTGCAGAGCTGAACAATGGCATCTCCACTTAATATATGAACAGACTCAAATCTAGGCTTCAGTATTAGGACTAAAGGCTAAAACTCCCCCACCAGAGTGACCTCCAGTGTGTCCCCCATCAGATTGTTACCTCTGAGAGCCACTACCAAGCTTGGTTCCTGTGTCTCTACTTCTACATTGTGGTCTCAGAAGGCAGAGAATAGACCCGGTTCCTGTGTCCCATCACACTATGACCCTTTAGGCTTGGGACGAGAGTTTTAGCTTACCTAAAATATGGCCCCATATTTCCCATTCCACAGCCTCCCAATATCACTGCAGGCCACGCCAGCCACCCCAGCTACACTCTCTGCATCGTCTTCTGCAGGGGGCTCCAGGACCCCTGCCATGTCGTCATCTTCTTCATCGAGGGTCTTGCTGCGGCAGCAGCTAATGCGGGCCCAGGCACAGGAGCAGGAAAGGCGTGAGCGTCGGGAACAGGCCGCCGCGGCTCCCTTCCCCAGTCCTGCACCTGCCTCTCCTGCCATCTCTGTGGTTGGCGTCTCTGCTGGGGGCCACACATTGAGCCGTCCGCCCCCTGCTCAGGTGCCCAGGGAGGTGCTCAAGGTAAGGTGAGATCCAGAGGCCCTGGGAGGGGGCTCCTGGTGACTGAGGAGTGGTCCTAGGAGCTAGGGATGGCCTCAATGTGCTGGTGATTTGGGGGCAAGATCTTAGGGGCTGTAAGAAAGGTCCCTGGTACTGTTTTTTTGTTTTTGTTTTTGTTTTTTGTTTTTCAGATGTTTTGCTCTTGTTGCCCAGGCTGGTGTGTAATGGCATGATCTCGGCTCACTGCAACCTCCGCCTCCTGGGTTCAAGCAATTCTCCTCCCTCAGCCTCCCAAGTAGCTGGGATTACAGGCGCAAGCCACCATGCCCAGCTAATTTTTTGTATTTTTAGTAGAGACCATGTTGGTCAGGCTCCATTCGAACTCCTGACCTCAGGTGATCCGCCCGCCTCGGCCTCACAAAGTGCTGGGATTACAGGCATGAGCCACCTCGCCCCGCCCCCTGATACTGTTTAAATGATCTGTGCTCATGTCTCATGTGTGTTTTGGGTTTCTGAGGTGATCTTGTAAAATTGCGAGGGGTTCTTGGGGGCCATGAGGATGTCTTGGTGGACCATGGAGGGTCATGAGTGCCCCAAGTGGGCTCTGGCTTTGTAGGAAGAGCTTTGTGTGTGTGTGATACATTAGTTATTTGGCCATTGGGGGGTATTGGGAAGCATTGTATGGTTCCCAGGTCTATTAGGTGGTGTCAGAGACTAGGTGGGGAATCTTGGGGACTGTGACAGGGTTTTCCAGAAACTATGAGGGACCCTGTCAGTCATAGGTGGATCTTGGCAGCTGTGAAGGATTTCTGAGAAACAGAGTTTGGGTCTGGTGGGAGACTCGCCAATATTTTTGGAGTGTTCTCAGATTCTGAGCCCAGCTTGTCTGCCTAAGTCTAGGCACCAATGACTTAGGAGGGTCAGGATGGGGCTCAGAGTCACTCCTTTGAGTCCTGTTCTGCCTTGTCCCCTCCCTTTCCTTGTCTACCTTATTTCACAGGTACAAACCCACCTAGAGAACCCAACGCGCTACCACCTGCAGCAGGCGCGCCGGCAGCAGGTGAAACAGTACCTGTCCACCACACTCGGGCCCAAGCTGGCTTCCCAGGCCCTCACCCCACCACCAGGGCCTGCAAGTGCCCAGCCACTGCCTGCTCCTGAGGCTGCCCACACTACCGGCCCCACAGGCAGCGCACCCAACAGTCCCATGGCGCTGCTCACCATCGGGTCCAGCTCAGAGAAGGAGGTAAGAGGCTACAGCCAAACCTCCTCCCACACTCCCCTCCCAAATTCTTCTAACCCTGTACAATATTTACTTCTTCCCCCAGATTGATGATGTCATTGATGAGATCATCAGCCTGGAGTCCAGTTACAATGATGAAATGCTCAGCTATCTGCCTGGAGGCACCACAGGACTGCAGCTCCCCAGCACGGTGAGGCCCTGAGATGTGAGGTTGGTCTGAAAATTAGGGCATTTCTGTATCACCAAGACCCTACCCAGGCTGGCTGCGTGTATATGAGATCCTTGTCTGGATTGCGCTAAGATAGAGAGGGAGATCTTATGATGAAAACAGGATATGTCAATGCCCTTGGACCTTATTGGACTGCATTGAGAGGTGGGCCGTGTAGACTGTGAGAGATACGGGTGGGGCTTTGCTGTGAGAAGCACCAAGACATGATTTTTTTTTTGTTTGTTTGTTTGTTTTGAGGTGGAGTTTCGCTCTTGTCACTCAGGCTGGAGTGCAGTGGCGTGATCTCAGCACACTGCAACCTCTGCCTCCTGGGTTCAGGTGATTCTCCTGCCTCAGCCTCCTGAGTAACTGGGATTACAGGCGCCCATCACCATGCCCAGCTAAGTTTTTGTATTATTAGTAGAGACAGGGTTTTGCCATTTTGGGTAGGCTGGTCTCAAACTCCTGACCTCAGGTGATCCACCTGCCTTGGCTTCCCAAAGTGCTGGGATTGCATCCATGAGCCACCACGCCCAGCTGAGATGAGAATCTTATAGCAGCTTGAATGTACCAAGGGATTCAGGTCATTGGGACATATACACCAGATCATGTAGTGATTAGTGATTAGGGCTTTTGGTTTTACTTTTTTTTTTGAGATGGAGTTTCGTTCTTGTTGCCCAGGCTGAAGTGTAATGGTGCGATCTCGGCTCACTGCAACCTCAGCCTCTCGGGTTCAAGCGATTCTCCTGCTTCAGCCTTCAAAGTAGCTGGGATTACAGGCGTGCACCACCATGCCTGGCTAATTTGTTTGTTTGTTTGTTTGTTTGTTTGTTTAGTTATTTTTGAGATGGAGTTTCACTCTTGTCGCGCAGGCTGGAGTGCAATGGTGTGTTCTCAGCCCACTGCAAACTCTGCCTCCTGGGTTCAAGCGATTCTACTGCCTCAGCCTCCCGAGTAACTGGGATTGCAGGCATGCTCTACCACATCTGGCTAATTTTCATATTTTTAGTAGAGACAGGGTTTCACCATGTTGGCCAGGATGGTCTCGATCTCTTGACCTGTGATCCACTTGCCTCAGCCTCCCAAAGTGCTGGGATTACAGGCGTGAGCCACCGCACCCCGCCTCATTTTGTATTTTTAGTAGAGACAGGATTTCTCCATGTTGGCCAGGCTGGTCTTGAACTTCCGACCTCAGGTGATCCGCCGCCCGCCTCGGCCTCTCAAAGTGTTGGGATTACAGGTGTGAGCCACTGCACCTGGCCAGTTTTTTTTTTTTTTGAGACCCAGTCTTGCTCTGTCACATAGGCTGGAGTGCAGCGGTGCAATCTCGGCTCACTGCAACCTCTGCCTCCTGGGTTCAGGTGATTTTCGTGCTTCAGCCTCTTGAGTAGCTGGGATTACAGGTGTGCGCCACTGTGCTTGGCTAATTTTTGTATTTTTAGTAGAGACTGGGTTTCACCCTGTGGGCCAGACTGGTCTTGAACTCCTGACTTCAAGTGATCCACCTGCTTCAACCTCCCAAAGTGCTGGGATTACAGGTGTGAGCTACTGTGCCCGGCCTTGAAGCATGTCGAAAGTCTTCAAACTTGCTGTGGGTTATAACAAGTAGTTGGATCTTGTAGTGACTGGAATATAGCAAGTGAACTGTGCCAGGAGGCAGAGTCCTTCTAGTGAGTAGATAAAACTTTCTAGAGCAAGGGATGTACCATTGTAACATTCTGGTTCTGAAACACTCCAAGAGTCTCATAACTTGCTTTATGTATTTATTTATTTTTGAGATGGAATCTTCCTCTGTCACCCAAGCTGGAATGTGCAATGGCATGATCTCGGCTCAGTGCAACCTCTGCCTCTCAGGTTCAAGCGATTCTCCTGCCTCAGCCTCCTGAGTAGCTGGGACTACAGGCACGCGCCATGACGCCCAGCTAATTTTTGTATTTTTAGTAGAGATGGGGTTTCACCATGTTAGCTAGGATGGTCTCGATCTCCTGACCTCATGATCCACATGCTTCAGCCTCCCAAAGTCCTGGGATTACAAGCATGAGCCACTGCACCTGGCCTAACTTGCTTTATTTATTTATTTATTTATTTTTGAGACAGAGTTTTGCTCTTGTTGCCCACGCTGGAGTGCAGTGGCACGATCTTGACTCGTTGCAACCTCCGCTACCTGCGTTCAAGTTATTCTCCTGCCCCAGACTCCCAAGTAGCCAAGATTACAGGTGCCCACCAGCACCCGGCTAATTTTTGTATTTTAGTAGAGATGGGGTTTCACTACGTTGGTCAGGCTGGTCTCGAACTCCTGACCTCGGGTGATCCACCCGCCTCAGCCTCCCAAAGTGCTGGGATTACAGGCGTG